TCAAGATCTTTTAACAGTTTATTGACCTCACTGACTGAGAATGGAGAAAAAGAGAAGCTGTGATTAACTGAGGATTGACTTGTAGGAGGGATTTGATTTGTAGAAGTTTGGTTATTAAGTGAAGTGGCTGATCTTCCATTAGTAACTTTGTCAAATAAAGAACCAGAAGCAACAAAATGTTTGAAACAGTTCAGGATCTCGTGCTGATTTGACACACTGCCTGTTGCCCTCAGCTCTTACCTGCTGGGTGTCTCACCTGGGCAGGACATTGTGATCCACCAGCGTCAGTTGTAGGCGCCTGGCTCGATGCAGGGCCCTGAGATCCAGCTGGTCCCTGAACAGTAATAGGTCTGGAGACAAACCGGTCTGACGCAGCAGGAAGATGTTGTCTGAACGCAGCACAAGTTCCGACTGCTGGATGTTGAGCAGCGGTAGGACGAGAGTCTCGCCGCCTACGGTCTGACAGACAAACGGACATTAAACCCTGAGACCTCTGATGAAAACTGGCAGCCAAATGAAAATCTTCCCACCTTAGACAGGAAGTAGGCGAAGGCCAGAGAAGACACCATGGAGTCCAGATCGCAGGCTTCATTCCCGAGAACCACATGAATCCCTGAAGCAGTCAGCCCCGTGTTTTCCTGGAGAATCAGGATGTACCACAAAGGAATGAGATGCGTCTCTTAAGTCTTTACCAAAGTCAACCCTGAAGAACCTGAAGGGACTGAACTTCCTCCATGAGTCAGAGGCAGTACGGTTCATCTTAACACCCAAACAGTCGACGAAACTAACCGACAGAAGAGGAATGAGAGTCAGCCGTAGTAAGACAGAGTCCATGTGTGTGAATGAGAGGGAGGAGGTGGAACAGTGAGGCTACAAGGAGCAGAGGTCACAAAGGTGCAGGACTTCAAGGACTTGGGGTCCACTGTCCAGGAACATGGGGAGTGTGGTGAAGAGGTGAAGAAGAGAGTCCAGGCAGGATGGAGTGATGGAGAAAAGTTTCAGGAGTGATTTGAGACAAAAGGGTGTCAGCAAAGATCAAAGGAAACGTTTGCAAGACAGTGGTGAGAGCAGCTGTTGTATGGTCTGGAGACAGAGACATGGACAAAAAGACAGGAGACAGAACTGGAAGTGTCAGAAATGAAGATGTTGAGGTTCTTCTTAGGAGAGACAAGGATGGAGAAGATTAGGAATGAGATCATCAGAGGTACAGCACACGTTGAACAACTGGGAGATAAAGTTAGAGAGGACACACTGAGATGGTTTGGACATGTCCAGAGGAGGGACAGTGGTTTGGACATGTCCA